GAAAGGAGAACCAGTGGAGTGGGACTGGGAATTAAGAGGATGTGGGCTGGCTGGGGAGAGTTGACCTGCTGGACAAAGATCCAGAGAGAGGAAAGTCTGGGGCCAGGGAGTGAGAAAAGAATGAAGAGGCAGGAGGTGTGGTGAGTTTCTGGAAGGAAGTCTAACACTGGCTGACATGGGAAGGACGAAGTTGAGCAAGAAAAAAGATGAAAGGCTGTGCTGAGGCTTTGTGGGTCTTAGGAGAACCTTTTGAAGCAGAAGAAAGTCCTAATTTTAGGTGATTAGGTAGTCTCTAACTGGGTTGGAAAGCTGGCTAGGCAAGAGATAGGAACTGGGATAAAGATTTGGAGAGGAAAAGAAAGTGCTAGAGGCCCTGACTAAGCAGGCTAGATAAGTGCTATCAGCAGCTGTCTGGGAAACTCACTGTAGTAAGGCACAGCAGTAAGCCCTGGTATGCTGACAGCCTGCTCCTGTCAGTGATTTTGGGTCAGTTTAGGCGACAGATGTCTGAAAAGCGGTTTCCTCCTCTACCTGTGGTTCATGTGGGTGTTGGTTTGATGCCACCTACTGTAACTGTGGGGTTTTCTTTTCGTGGGTTTTTTTTTTAATATAAGAAAATTACATATGATTTATAACACAAAATATTTTTCTTAAGTTTTGAAAGACCACAGGCATTAGCAAATGCAAAAATTATGACACTGATGTATTTTATGAAATCCTTTAAACACACAGTCACACTGGCTTTTTATGTAACACTATCTCAGTGCTGATAAAAGTTTGATGGATGTGTCAGGACTGAGAACAAAAGAGGCTGTGGAATGAAGCAACTTTAAAGACGAAATGTCAAACTGGGAATTACAGGTGGAAGATTAGTGGTTAATGTTTAATTATTATCTTCAGGAAAATAATTGTTTAATTATTTTCCTGAAGAATTAGATTTTGTATGAGACTCTGCTGTGGAATTTGCTGAGCATGCCATCTTTTATTCCAGGCTTGCTTTCAAGAGGTCACTAACTCTTTATCCCTTACCAGGAATGTTCCTTACCTGAGCTGTGGCTCTGAGGTCTTCTCCTTCTACTAGGGGTTGAGGTCCCAGAGTTGCTCAGTCTTGATACCTGCAACTGAGGTGAATGAAAGATGTGCCCTCAACGTTAAAACTGCATATAATACAGACTACAGTGGGAATTAAACAGGTCCTTGTCACTTCAGTTTGGGCATCCTAGATCAATGACAATTAGTGTAATCTATGTACCTCCATTCCCCGTTGGAAAATGGGCTATAATGCTATTCCTTTGGAGTTCTGAGAAAATGAATTCATTAATATCTGTTGTGTTTTGTGAAATGCTGTAATTGTTGGCAGCGAGAGAAAAGCCTGTGAGGAAATTAATAATTGTCTTTGAAAAGCTTTAAAGAATTGACTGTATTCAATAAATCATGAGGCTGCAAACTGAAGACTGAGGAGAAAACAAAGCACTGAGCAGCTGTTCATGAAGTGAGCTCCTTCATCCTGTACATACAGTGAGGCAGCACTTGTGGAAGAAATTGTGCAGGATCATGCCATTGAAAACTGTAATATGATGGAATCACCAGAAGCCTTTTTTTTTTTTTTGTTAATGAAAGCTCTTGTCTCCAACGATGTTTAATGATAATAATTTGGAAGCACAGTAGCTGATGTGCTTCAGGTTTTTCATGGTTATAGTGCAGAAGGAGAGCTAATATAAAGAGGGGGAATGCAGACTACCCCCATCCACCCTCTGTAGGATCCTTATGGTTTCCTGCCATGCATCTGCAATTGCCTGCTGTCAGCTAGGTGATAGTGGACTAGATGATTCTTGATGGCTTGAATTGTAATGGTAATTTCTATGTATCTGCGGGTTTTAGCTGCTACTCTCCCTTTGCTGATGCTACATTTATGCTCAGTGTCAGGGCTGGAATTGGTTAGTATAGTGCTGGCAATTCTCTTTCTTTATCAATGGAAAAATTCTCTTTGCTTGTGGATTTCCTGGCCAACTGTTTAAACCACTTCAGAGAAATGCAGAGAAACCAGGATTTTGTACAGTTTCAAACCCATCTGAAATTTCCTGGTCTTTACCTACTTTGGGTCAAAATTTAGGTAATAATTTTTTGTTCTGCAATGTAAGTTTACCCACATTTATTCAAACTTTTTCAAAGTATTGATAGACGTTGCAATTAATATAAATGTATTGCCACTTTTAGATATAAACACAAAAAATTAACGATATAAAAACTTTACACAGATGCAGTTATTACTTCTAGCTCTTTCCAATATCTCCCTTCCTTGTGACTGTATATTTTCATTTATTTTGACAGTGTCAATATAATAGTGTTACAGAACACTTTTTCACTGACTCGAGTAATAAATTTTAATAGCAAAGACACCTGATAAGTAGGACAATAACAAATGGTTATATTTTGGTTCTAGGGACAGTGCATCTAGTTTAACCTTTGGTAGCACATGAAGTGCTACCCCCCACTCTGATGCATGCGTTCTCACTTGTGTACCTGTCATAGGAATGGTGTCTGTTTAAGACTTGGAACATCTCAGAGGTTCTTGTGTCATTGAGGACAGGTGCCTTAATGGTTGGAAACTACTTCTCTGTTCTGATCATTGTAGTAATTTTAAGACAGTTAGAGAGAAAGAGGAAATGGCAGGGGCTGACAGAGTCTCGGTGTAAGAAGAGAAATAGATTGAATTGGGTCATGTTTGTAGCCTCCAACTCTGCACCAGCTGGTACTAACTTGGAAGCAGTGTGGTTGATGCTGCTGTTGTGTGCATTCTGGGAAGTGCTCTGCCTTGTACATAGTTCTCAAAATGTACCAGAAAATAAACTTTATCATTTTTTGTTTGCTATTCTCTCTATTTGGAATGGCCTGAGATTGAAGGCAGAGACATCAATGTAAAGTGCAGGTAGAAATGGATACTGCTAGATGAGATGTCAGTACTGACACACCTTAGCCAAGAGGAACCTGAAGCAAAAGTTTTGCTTTCTTTATGTTTTTCTCTTTGCACATACGCACACTTTGGAGAACAGAAACTTTGATGCAGACTGACTATGAAATTTAAAATACATCATCTAGTTATTTAGAGCTATTGTTAATGCCGCTATGTTCCTGCAATCACTGCTCAAGGGTTCTTGTGGAAATTACCATCATCTGATTCCCAAGCTCTTCAGTGAGCTTGAATACACTGTGTTCTTCTTGAAGAATGAGAAACAGAGATGTGATTGCGTTACTTCTCTGCAGAGCAGTACAGAGTTTATAACATGACTGTAAGTTCAGGTGGGAAACCTGTAGTATTCTGGGAGATTTGAGTCTTGGAGTTTATCCTTGAGAAGCTGCCTGTAGACTGTAATGTTAACCCGTGTTAATGAAATACGGCAGGAAGTGAGCCTTTCAGGGGAAAATAGTTTCAGATTTGCTTGTATCACAAAAACCTTTGTGCAAGAATGTATTTTGGGAACTCCCTTACATACCTTACCAAGTTGATTACTTGATCTCTTTGATCTAATGACAGTTTTAGAAAGCCAGTGGCCCACAAGAAATAATGAAGTGGTAACTTACACCTGAAATACAGATTAATGTCCGATCCCAGTATTCAAACTTTGTGGAAAATCTCATTGCGTATGGAAGGAAGAACACCAGTGTAAGACCCCTGCAGCATTTAACAATCAGTTCTTCAGAGTGTTTGTTATGGTCCAAGACCCCAAACAGCTGACCATTCTGTGCCATTTAGGTATGTCTCTGAGGAAAATATACTGTTGTTATTCTAGCTATATTTCTAACGTTCCTTGAAGAGTAACCACGTCTGATTTTGTGTTTACTCATACAGCTGATATGAAAAATTTATGTATGAAAGAACCAATAGAATGTTTGATATTATTATTGCGTACTGTAATGAGATCTTTAATTAATCCCAAATAAAAGCCTCTCTCTTTCCTGGTTTTAGCACCTCTCGTATGGCAATGGTAGTTTACATGTTGATGCAGCCTTCCAGCAGACGCTCTGGAGTGTAGCACCAATCAGTTCAGGAAGTGAAGCTGCCCAAGGTAAGATTGACTCAACTTTAATTATTGAAAGATTGATTATAAATGAAATATCTGGAAAATAAAATTGTTCTGCCAACTGTTGCTGAAGTATGGAAGTGGCTTTCTCTTATGTAAGCATTCAATCCAGTAAATAAATATATAAATGTTCTGAAAAGAGAGAGGGAAGATGATACTGAAAGGGACACTGATGGTTTTCTACTTTTTTTTAAATGAATGCTGAGTGGCTTATTCATATCTCATGTTGCTAAAGGTATGATAATGATAATAATGATTTTTTAAATGGCTTTTGGTCCTGGTTTAAATTATCTCAGATTATTCTGATGTGTGCAGGTGTGGTTACATGTTCCTGAGACTGAGTAAAAAATGTTTTGCAAGAAGACTGGAAGCAGGATGTGAAATCCAAGGAGTTAAGAGTGAAAATGGTTTTGTTGGGAGCATATGGTTGGGAAGAAAAACAGAAAGATGGGAAAGACAGAAAGAGACAGGCTAGAACCACTTTCAAATTTTGTTTATTTTATTTAGGAATTAGGAAGGTTTTTTTTTTTTAATGTAACTTGTGACATGAAAGGACAAGGATCCCTGAATTTATGCCATGTTGTTTCCACAGAGAAGAGAAGTTGTCTTTTCAGAAAGTTTTGTCAAGATGTAAAGACAAATGACTTATTCTTTCCTATAGTATCACTGTTTTGAGTAGATTTTTTATCAAAACCGTAAGAAGGTTAAAGCTGCAGGTCCTTTCTTACTCCCTGGGATTTTTGGGTACTATTTTCTGAAAAAGCAGTAATGTACTGCTTCTTGCTCCTTCAAGATTTCAGGGATGGCATTTCCAACACCTCCCTTCTACATACTCACTCTGTTTTTAGGCGATTCTGCACATTCAGATTGTCTGACATGGCTTCTATTCCATCTGTTATTAACAATGTCCTAAACTTTATAGAGAAAACCTTTCTGCTGATGAGAGGAGAAAACCTCCTCCTTTCCAACCTGTTGCCTCTTCCTATAAACTCATTTCTCCTTGTTGTTCCACTGCTGGCAGCTCTGGTGTGGCACTCTTGTTAATAATCCCAATAAAGTTTATTATCTGAGTCCCAGATTTGTGCTGTGCCCCGTCTCTCTAGTTGGTGAGTCTCACTAATGAGACCTGCCTGGCTGTTTGGGAAGCAGAAGCTCACAATGATAGAGGATAGTGTCATGTTGTGGACTTTTACCCACAGGAAATCATGTGAAAATGATGTAATATGATTTCAGCAGCTGTTCATTTCTCTGCTTATTTGCTTGTTCTTTCTTGCTATGCCTTTCCATTTTCACTTTTCTCGGGTATAGACATTAGTTATCTTTAAGCAGTATCTTTTCTAGAAGAGATCAGCTGGATCCTGTCAGAAAGAATTAGAGCAAAGGCCTTATTCTAGCAAAATCAGCAAATACTCCTGTAATCAAAGTTGTCTTGTTGTGAAGGGAGAGCAAATCTGACACTTAGTGTGTAAGACCTTATCCTATATGCCTCAGTAAGACTGTAGACAAACTGGAGAAAATTACCTTAAGAAGAGGGAAGAGGAAAAAAAAAAGCTAAGTTCGTTAGTATTCGCTGTCATCTTCATAAACATAGTGTTAGTGTATAGGAATAACTCCGCTATGATACCATCTTTTAATCAAAACTTCCCATTAAAGATAGATTAATAAGTGAAACACTTCAGTTAAATGAAGTTACTTTGAAGTGAAAATAATAAATATTCTGTAAAGTGAACTAGGATATTGGAGGTAATTAGTTAAAAGAAAATTATTTCTTTCTACATGCATTTCTGTAAAACTGGCTTATGCAGAAGTCAGTTCATTGTTTAGGTCAAAACAGAGCTTTAGGGTCAGATCAAGTAATTGTGCTAGTTCTGTACCATGAAGTGATTGGGGTGCACTTTAAAAACAAAATAAAACAAAAAACCCAAAACAGCTGCTCAGAGTAGATCATCTCCAGAATGATACTGACACAGGTCCATTAATGCACGTAACTCTACGGTTGCCAAGACATACCCTTCTGTGTCAAAGTCAAGAGTTTAAAACTTCAGTGCTAAGATTTGCCACATACTAATTTATATTGATTTCAAAGGTTTAAACAAATATATCCTGAAATATTCCCTGATATATAATCAAGAAAAAGATTTCCTGTAGCTTCAAAATAAACTTGTGAAATGTGTACAATGTGACTGTTGGATCTTCAACACCACGTCCCTGTACAAATCTGTCTTATTACACAGCATTACTTGTTAATATAGATAAGCGTCAACATTTTATTCTAATAATATTTTTTAAAAATATTTTTGTTGTAATACTAAGCCCAAGGAATTATGTTCCCACATCCTGTTCAAATGCTGAATTTAATATTAACCGGTTTTAGCAAGAAGAGAAGATGAGTTTAGGAAACAAACATAAGCACTTGTTTAGCTTGTCAGACTGAAAAAATACCATTGAATTGCACTTAAAACCTACTGAGTCTTAATATTCTTCAATTGCTTGTCTGTGTCTCTCTCCTGATCCAGCCTTTCCTACTTGCTGACTTTGAGCTTTTCTCACTTGGCAATGTTCATCTGGCTCCCTAGGGTACAAGATATCTTACCCTTCTTCTGAAAATCTTCTTAAATTAATGTAACTTACTAACAGAAAAAAAAAGAATTAAAGCTGACAGTGTTTATTCCAGTGTGAGTTGTAGTTTTACATGTTGCCGCATTCAGACAAATGCACTTGATTTTCTCCCTTTGTTCAAGGATATCTGATAGGAGGGGATGTTCTGAGGTTACTGCATGGTCACATGGATGAATGTTTGACAGTCCCTTCGGGTGAACACGGAGAAGAACAAAGAAGGTAAGTTTTGAGCTCATAATAGAATAATAATAATAAATGTTGCTGATTCATTATTAAGTGTCACTGATAGTACAGATTTTTGAAGGATATTGTGATGAGTTGCATTAGTCATAAGAAGGAATATTGTTGAGATGAACTTTGGACATGAACCTCTTACATTTTCTTTTCAGTCTTGTTGTCAGGTGTAAAAGCAATAGTGATTTTTGATAACTTATTGTCATCTTTACTGACATAAAAAACACTGTGAATAAAATGTATTAGATTCTTTACTGCTGTTTTTTTTCTGTAATCATGCAAAATTCTTCAGGACAGGGTGTGTTAAGATCACTGGCCAGTCTTCCAAGGCTACTGATCTGGGTAGTGCTCCCAGGTGTACCTGTCATAGTAGTCTAGAACTTAATTTATGGTTATTTTCATGACTAAAGGAATTCTAGAATGGAAGTAGGGAAGTGATGACAGCTTGGTATGTGTGTCTTTCTTGGTTAACTAATAAATCCAAATGGTGAGAAGTTTGGAACTGGAAGTGGCATGTCTCAGTGGAGTGATTACATGGGTGAATCAAAGTTCTGTTTATTTGCTCTAATAATATACACCCTAAGCTTCTTTTCAGTAGGGCAGTGTCATACAATTTATTCCTACCTTCAGCCTGAAGATTGGTAAATGATAATGTTGATTTTGGAATAGTTTGTTTAGTGCAGCATATTGGGTAACTTCAGTTCCATGATAAAGTGCTGTTCATTCATTTCCAAATGAGTGTCCTTCATTTGCAAATAGAAATGTTTTTTTTTTAGTTCTATTTTGTTCTTATTTGTAAAGATAAGAACAAGATACTAGAAGCTCTCATAAAATATAGCAAAAGTCTTCTATGAATTTTTAAATATTAATGAGAAATTTTTAGCTGTTTCACTTCAGGTTTGGCATTTTTTTACATAGCTGCTAACCAACCCTTCCTGGCTATTTCTCACCTTTAGATAAGGGAGTATTTTCTGAACACAGAAGACATTTCAAAATGCTGAGACTTAAAATGTGATCAGTTCATGTTTTAATTTTAGTTACTGTGTAATAGATGCATTACAGCTTGGAGTTTATTGCTGCTATTATTGTCCTCATCCTGAAAGTGATGAAAAGATAAAATGATGAATAAATAGAATCCTATAGTGTTAGCTCTTATTTCAGTTTAAATCCTGCAAATTTCCTTTTAAAAATTGTAGTTGCAGTGTAATTGCAGGCTTACAGGATGATCAAGCACTTCAGTAATGAAATTTAACACTTAAGAACACACTAAAAATCTGTCTCTTTTCAACAGGAGTAACATTATACATAAACTACAATAAAGGAGTGCAAAGTTGCAAGTTAAGAAAAAATTCCTTTGATCTGCTTGCGCTTTCACATGATGCGTCTTTGTCCTATAACCATGTAAGAACAGGGTTCATTTCATAAGCTGTAGACTCGTGTCTTAAACAAACCAGATCATTATTCTTCTTTCTGCCATGTCTACCTTCTCCCCTATATGTCTATATCCCAAAAGAAGCAAAGCTGGTAGACAACAAATAGTGCCCATGTCTTTATATTTCCTAAGAGCAATATTGAGAAACACTGCTTCTCAGTGCTTCGTAGAAAACCCAGATTTGATCTGAAATTTTTGTGTTGTTCAGGAACTTGGTTTAATAAACAAACAGAATAAAAATAAGTTTAATTTTTTTTTCATATTCTCCTTTTCTGTAGTTCTTCTATTGCTTTTTTGAAAAACTGTTAAATATTTTTACTTATAAATGTAGAACATAATTTATGATTATTTTTAATATTATGGAGTTAAGTATAATCATTCTGTGCCCCACACTTTCTTCTTTTAAATTAATGATAAATTTAGTTATTGCTTAAGCCCTCTATATTTCTATCTCTAATTAGGACTCCTGTCAATTCAAAATCATATCTGGAAGGTTGGTTTGTTGCTCCTTTCAGTTTTCAGCATGCATGCATACCTTGTTTTAATGGGTGGTATTTACCTGCTGGTAGAATTATGTTAAAAAGATATGGGTAATTTTGTCAGGTAGGAAACTGTAAAATAAATCATTTTATCTTTCATTGTAATTTAAGTTCTGTAACTTTTGCACACAAGGTATGGTAAAGTGTGATATATTTGGAATATAGTAATTCCATATTATCCTTTCATTGCCTTTTGAAATAAACTGGTGATGGATTATTGTGGTTGTACTTGGTTTGTTTTGTTCCAGTATATGCCTGAAGAGCAGCTCTACTTTGCAGAATGGCACCGTAAAGGGACACTGAGAAGTTCCATCTCTGTTGTGACTCACTAATTCCTCTGTCTCATTTTAATTTTTCTGCAAAGGCCTCCTCTTTATGCCTTTCCAAATAAATGAAAGATCAGACAGTCCTAAAATAGCAGCTTTATTCTATAATGTCACCTGGCATCTAATCCTGGGAATGAATAAAGTGTTTTGATGTGAAGGATCCTCTTAGGCAGTTTCTAAAAATAACTGCTGTTTTTCTCTATTCTTAGAGCATTGATCCAGTTACATAAATTTGAGTATAAAAGTGTTTCAAAGATTACCAGAAGACCAAAATAAAACACACATTCTCAAACTGGTTATACTCTTGTGGAACAGCATTTAGCACAGTGGAGACATATAACACAGAGTCAGCGCAGGTGCTGTGTCCATGATTACAGTACCTAGCGAAGCTTCCTCTGAGGTGAGATCATCCAAGTCTGCACTAGAAGAGGCCTAGGACAGTGGCAGAAATAGTCATATTAAAAGCTTATAAAATTCTCTGTGTCTCACAGTTTTTTCTGAATGTATACTGTGTTCCCTGGCTTAATTGTTGAGCTTGTGTGTCCCTCCATGTGGTCCTTAAATTGTGTTACTGTGATCACTAGAAGGTAGGGTGGAATAACTGTATTATTGGAAGAGGGACTTTGGTATTTAGTGGTGAGATGTAATTGCACAATGAGCAGTGGAAAAAGAGCAATGCTCAGGGCCCACGTGGGCAAATGCCTGCTTTGCCAGGGTCACAAGGTGATTGACTGGGTAGGATGGTTTTCTTCCCTTCTCCAAGAACTGAGATCCAAAAAGCTCCTTTGGCCAGTAATGGATAGCCATAGCTCTGGTCCTTGCATGCACAGCCCACTCTGTACTGTCTTCTGGCCATGGTCCCTGGATTCTGCAAGGAGAGGGAGCTGTCATGAGGCTGAAAGCTGCTAGAGCAGCGGCTCCTCTCTTGCCTCCTTCCTCCCACAGGCAGTGGTATGGCGGTGTCTCGGCAGTTAGGTACCTTCTGCTCTAGCAGCAGCAGATGCAGGCGTGCCATAGGGATAAGTATAACGTGTTTGGGCTACCTACTACCAAGGCTGTGGTGTCTTGGTGCATTTAAATTCCCAGTGGAGGTGGTACCTGGGAGAACTGGTCTGCTGCTGCTATCCAGCTGAACTTGGTCAAAATTTCTGAGAAATCTTGAGTTGTCTCTGGTAATGCTGCCTTTTATGTAGTGATATCTGGCTCTTGATGTGACGCCAGTGAGACATTATTCAAAGATTGCATCTCTGAACTATAAATAGTTTAAGACTACTCTGAGTATTCGTGTAGTGGGAGACTCAGAAAAATTATTCAAACAGATTCTTGTGGCAGTAACTCAAGAAAAATAGTAAATTATTATTTTATTGCCTGAACTATTTTTTTTTCCCAAAAAGATCTATCTGTAGTCAGAAACAGTTAAAAAAGTTTTGATAATTTTACTGGCTTATTCACGGCACAGAATTCTCTAGGCTGGGAGGCTCCTATCAGCTCAGAAATGTACTTTTCCATGGGAAGCAGTTTCAAGTAGATTCTTCCTGATGTTGCTGGACTTGGTTTACTTTGTAATTAAAAAGCATTCCAGTTGGAAGCAGTGCAAATAGAGATGTTTGTGGTAATATGTTGGTTTACTTGATATTGCACTAGAAAAATCAGTGGTATTGTTTTTAAAACACCACATTCAGAGAGGGCATGACCCTGGTAGTTATTACTCACTCTGATTCAGATAAAGAACAAAAAAAAGAACAGGCAAAAGGTTAAGTATGTGCAATTTCACTGAATTAAATGTAATTTACTGCACATTCTAGTTAGGCATGTTGCTGGTTTAAGGACAGTGTTTAAAGCCTTGTGCATTGAGTCTTTAAACTGTGTTTTTGTTATTTAAAATGCCTTAGTTATCTATAGCAAACTAGACCTAAATTTGCAATGTTGTTTGTGTAGGTCTTCAATTCAAATTTCAGAATAATTTCCAGGTAGATTAAAAAATCAGTATAGGTATAGATATACAAGAGAAGGCATAGTATAATCGTCTTGGTGTTCTTCTGGTGGTTACATTGATTCTATTTTTTTTCAAAGCCAAGGGAAACTTCTGCAGCACCACAGTAGCTGGGAGTCTGTATTTGTCTTCACTCTCTTCCTCCACTGTCTGCCCACATGGCCTGGCTCTTATCATACGAGCTGTCAGTTGTGTGTATGGGAATGAGGCAAACCTACATGGGTTTCCTTGATTTATTTTTTTTTCTTGAAATAAAGGATTGCATTGTCTCCTTTCCCACACTTTTCCTCCTGTTTCCATACATGAGAAATTTGCTAATAATTTTTAATTTTTTTAAACCCTTATTTGGTAATTATAGTATTGAGTCTTCACTTGCGAATTTATAATATCAAAGGAATGAAATAAATTTATTCTAAATATGGTGGAAGTTGGTATTTAGAGCAGATATACATTGAAGTGCTTCTCTGAAATTGTTTACCATTGTTTCACTCTTTTAATTAAAATAAATTGCAAGAAATGTTCATAATAAATTCAGATTGTGCAGCAGAGGCTTTTAAAGTATTGTAATAAACAAGTTTGATGTTTTTCTACATCACAACTGAATCAGTCAACAGCCCCCCTTTTTTTAATTGGTCATTTAAGAGGAATTATTTTACACTTTTAACATTGTTGTATTATGTGTTTCGTTTTTATTT